TGTTTAATATTATTAAAGTCCTTCTATGTGTTTTATATTTATAACATAACCTGTTTACAGACCAGTGATTCCCCTTTTAATTCTGATCCAGAGAAAAGGTCAAAAACTAGGAGACCTCGTAGTGTATCTTTGTTAAATAACACTACGGATAAACCTAAACTCAAACCAGCATCGTGGCATCAATTTAGACAGTTACCACCAACAAGGTATGCTATAAATTTTTAATTAATATAATATGTCATTGCTGTAAAATTATGAAAATATTAACTTATTCATAGATGCCATATAGAAACAAAATATAGGAAAACACAACCTGCTGAGTTAGAAGTAAAACTAAATTCACTTAAGAAAAACTTTTGGACTGGAATTCAAGACGACAATAAAGGACCTTTATCCTGGGGCCTTTCAAGTTTTGGGATGAGCTCTTACTTCACAGACAGTGAAGCATTACTCAAGTTAGTACTTACTAAATTAAAAATGTATTCTAAATATGAGCAGAATTTTATCACCAATGCCATCAACAGGTCATGTTCAAAAAAGTTGGAAGAACTTGAGGATGAAAAAAAGAAAAATAAAGAGTGCAAAAAGAAAAAGAAAACCAAGTCCAAATACAAAGCAAAAACTACCACAGAGGATTCAATTGATCCCATATCAAAAGCAAATAAAACACAAAAGAAAAAAGGGAAGTGAGTATCCATTATACTAACAAACAAAGACATACTTTATAAAAAATTTATTTATATACTTTATTACCTTAATCAAAAACATACACATAACAAAAATAAAAAAAGCAGGTTACAAAAGTTATAAGGCAACGGGCGGCCTTATCGCTAACAAGCGAAATATATATGTATTATTGATTAACTATAATCTAGCTTTACTTTTCATAGTGTGTAAATGTGTACCTATATTGTATTTCAGGTTAAAATTTAGCAAAGCTGAGTTTTCATACCAAAATAATACGAGTTTCACCGAAATACCAAAGAACACTCAACCAACTGTGCAAAAACCAAGTCTAATAGAAAGTAAGCAAAAGACTTTTCGAAAGGGTGCTTTTGTTGCCACTGCTATCCAAACAAAGAAGTCTAAACCTAAAGAAATAAAACAGTGTAGTGACAATTCTGAAACTGATGATTCCATACAAAATAGAAAAAAAGTCAAAAAGAAAACTAAGAATCCCAAAAAACTTCAAAAAGCAGCTTCAGAGAATAGACTTAAAGTGTGATATTAAGAGTAAGATTTAGAGTTGAGACTTAGTACCATGTGTAACTACCATATGTCAAAAAAATTAGTTATTATTAATTAGTATTTAATTGACACATGGTAGTTCAGTCTCAACGCTGATTCTTAGGGTAAGTGTTAATTTAGTTTTTCCAAATAAAGGTTTTATAATTTTTATAACAACAAATTTTTTAAACAGCATCTGTTGTTCTGAAGCTTGTTACAAAATGTTGATTAATAATAAATATAAAACCATGGTAACTGATTTAGCACCTTAATATTCAATCCTAAAAGTATTGCATATACTATCTCTCTATATTGAGCATTCATATTGATTTATAAAAACTAAATACTATATTGTGTATATATAGTATGACTGTTCAGCGTTTTCATTCACATTAATACACACTGTAAAGGCATGTGATTAGGTATTACATATACCACGAAATTTATATTAGTTAACTGTAGCGAATCAATTACCTACTAATATAACATAAAATAACGCTTTTTTTATTTTAAAGCTGATTTAGAATTGTCGTTTGTTGTATAGTTTCACGACAATATTAACATTTATTCTGATATAAATATAGGAGAAAATTATTGTTTACTTACAAGTAAATAGTTTACTCTTCGAATTGTTTTATATGAACTTTTTAAAAATTCGTGAGATAAAAATCACTTTAAACATAAATGGTTCAGTTAACTTTACATCAAACTTATATAAGAGATTAATAACATTCATAACGATTTACGATACTAATTACTGTTATTGTAGGTAAAATTATTAAAAAAATAATAATATTGTAAATTCTCAGGGATTTATCTGGATAGGATGACAATGTCAGTTGTCATATAGACTTCTAGCTGACACTAGCGAAACTAAGTAATTTATTTTACAGCATAAGTAGCAAACATAACAACATATTATATACTGCATAAAATGAGTTATAGGTATATCACCGATAGTGAAATAAAAATTTGTTGTGGGCAATACTGGGGAAATTGGATTAAATGATCTTGATACTGTTTCATTTTTATTTATGTCTTTAGTATTAATGAACATGAAGTATATTAGTTATTTGTATGAAGAATGTTGTTATACATCGGGTTTTTAAGATAATATAATACCTACCTATGTCATGAAAATAAATCAATCGTAAATTACTTTATGTAGAAATTTATTATATTATTATAACTTAAAACCTCATCCAGAACTAGAAAACGATTGCAAGAACTCCACTTGCTTTTCTTGTTCGTCATCAGGAGATAAAGAGGTGTTTATTTTAAATCACTCTTCCAGCATATCAATTATTATATCTTGCTTGATGAAATCGCTTTCAATTTTCTTTACATGTTCACAACATTTTTCCAATCCTCTGCACCAATTAGTGAGAAAGGTTCTTCTGTTAATAATTTTAAGTCACTTGCAGGTCGATTTATATTTTTATCAACAACTGTTTGCTTCATTATACTCCAAATCATTTCTATGGGAATCAATGTGCAATGATAAAAACCTCATGACCGTTCAATTTTAATACTTCATCTATCTCATATAAGGGCGCAGACAAGTTTTCAAACATCATCATAATGTAAATCATTTGTACGGAGCCATTCTTTTATAACAGCGATACGATTGGTATGTGTGGGCTGTTTGTTCACGTACGGAATGATAACTAGCATCATCCATAACAATTAATGAAGGTTTTATTAAATTTGGAATTAACTTCTCTGTCACCCATTTTGTAAAATTGTTTTTATTCATATCGTGGTGGTAGGTAGTCAGCAGATACACTTGTTGACCTGTACTGAAATACTTTTTGATGGACCTGCAATATTATGTTTGCTTTGCCAGCTCTGATTCACAGAACAAGAACCGTGAATGTAAGTCTCGTCTAAATAAATCACATCCAATTTATTTTGCTCTTCAGCTTCGCGGTTTTCCTTTATACGTTTGAAAAACTTGAATATTTGTAGTTTCATCCCTCTTCATCAAAATAGTCCCCTTTTTGATTATTTTTCTAACCTCAGAGATTCTCTTCCTCCGTTGAAATCAAATGTCGAAGAATTATATTATATATTTGACTATTCATTACTGTTCGAATTTCCTTTCGAACTGTATAGAATTCCTTTACTTTATTCCCAATCAAATGTAAGTCGAAACTGTCCCAGTTGATTTTCTTCTTCCCTCCTCTCCTCTTTTTACCAGGTGTGGAAAACACACCAACATTCGATGTGCCCTTAGGTACAATTCGCCGTATAGTAGTACTGGAAATCCCTATAAAGAAGTCACAATTAAGTACCGATGAAGAATATGAAATAAACTAAAAGTATCAAAACCACTCAGTCCAACTTACCGGTCAACTCTACCACGCGCTTTAAAATCAAAAGTTTGAGTTTGATTTACACCTTCTTCCTTTATTTTACGATAAAAAAGAAAACAATAATTCTCGCTTGAGAATGAAGTGCCTTTTTCGACATTTCACCAAAACAACAAATTTCAAGAAGACAATCACAAAATCTCAGCAGCGGTTGTCAGATCTGATACTTTGATTTGACGGATGACAATTGACATTGCCAAGTGAAAATCTATTCTTTTTTATTATTTTTTATGCCATGAGGCATAAAAAATAATAGGTTCTGGTAGACCTATTACTAAGACGACCACCGGTTTTAAAATGTGTTTTCATATATCAAACGAACAAAATATGTAAACGCAATGTAAAAAATAAATATGTAAATAATGCCCTGTCCTGCACATAAAAAAAACGCACGCATGCACGGAAAAAATAATTACTATTTTTTCCGCAAATTGGTTTTAACATCAAAAAACCAGTGGTGATATCTCTTTTGCTATCATTTATTTTTTCTAATAGTCAAGTGGATGATGACCCTCCCGTGCTTGATGCACGCAAGTGCGCAACTTCAACGAAAAAGCAAATCAATTGAATCAAAAAACTACTGCTATTACAAAATTATTTAAAAAAATCAAACCAGAAAATAAAGGAAAACCTTTTTATTAAGTTTTTCAATAATCTTAATTTTCATTTTATCGTGCTTGCTTTTCTAAACATTTTCGTAAAATAGAAACGACTTTAACTGTTAAAACTTAATATTCTAAAGTTAATATTTTATAGTTGTTTAGTTTATTTCTAAATAAATTTAAATTAAACGAATGCGATAGCATCGCAATTTTGTTTAATATATAAAATCAAGAATATCAGCATATGAATATTGGTATATTATATTTCTTTCTGTTCCTTTAAGCTATTCTAAATTTCAAATTTCCTAGTTGGTGGCTCAATAGTTAACAAACATCGAACCTGGATCATCGAGTCTGGATTTATTTCAGGGAAAAACAAAAAAAAATTCGGGTCGATAAACAGAGGTTTTTTGTCTACTCAAACAAACCATTAAAACAGACGGTGAAATATTATGTTTTCAGAACTTGAAGAAACCATAAACAGGGTGCTATTTAAATTTAATTTAATAGCCAATTACAAATTTCATAAAAAAAACAACAAACAATTAATATTACTTTAATTACAATTATAATAATTGTTTAAAATCTTAATTTTTTTTAGAAATTATCAGACTGTCACTATTTTTAAACTATGATTACATTATCAAAATAAGACGCGCCAATTTTGAATTACAGCCCTTTCCCTTACTGTTCAATAAAATTGCCAATTGACGCGCTAAATCCTAGTTATAATTTCTAGAGGACCAAGGCAAGTAACAGCAGGTATGTAAAAAAATAATCTTGCACAAATAAAAATGGCTTAGCATACGTTTGTCAGCCAATTTGTTTGGGTTAAATTATTCATTGCAGAGCAAAAAGATGACGATACGGGTGTAGCTGTAGAAAATGCCAATACTCTGAGTTCCCCATTGTCTGAAAACTGTAGTGCGTTGCTCACTCTCATCCCGGTCGACGTGTAACCTGGCGTTTGAGGCTCTCCCGTTATGGGGTTAAAAGGACCACATCTAGTTTTCGCTAATATGCAAGATGTGACATTTGTATAAAACCGTACATTGTCATTGTCTAGAGTAATGTTTACACCGGTTCTAGCTTCTCTTGTACATTGAGTTATCTGGAAAAAATTACCGGAAAAATTAAAAAATCAACGGGGATATAGATAATTTGTTTTTAATTTTACGAAAATAATTTAGTGCTTGAGTTTTAAAATGTGCTATATTACTGTATATTTTTTTTAATATTCAACTGAAAGACAGCACGAACATAATCCTCAGTCCTCTGCTGTTAAGTTCAGTAAATTAAAGCGTCATGCAAAATTTAAATGAAATATGACAAACCAGGTTAACTGAATTAGCTCTCCTCAAGCAGCGAACAAAATCACAATATCCCATATAGCATCCTGACGGTTGTACATTAAGAGCTGATGTTGATAAGGCCTGGTTAAAAACATAAATTTAAAAAAAAAAACGACGGGCTGCACTCCGGGAGTGCCGGCAGAAGTGAAAACTTGAATATTAACGTTGTGCATTTTTAATATTTTGGTATGCTAAGAGAATAATTTTGCATGAATTGCTTTAATTATCAGTATAAAAGTACTATCATTTATGTGGTAGAATACAATATTTATTTATTGCGTTATCGTACACAAACATGATAATTTATATTACATTAAATACGCCGCGCCAGCTGTCTACTCTCCATCCGTCTTACGAAACCTACACAAAACAATAAAAATTAGTATTAAAAAATTCAATTAGGAAAATTCACAATTTTTTAAGTTGCCATTTTTTATTCGCGGCTGTCTGACCAAATCGTTAATAATAAAGCTTTAGACGTTTCGCAAAATTAAACCTTGATGTGACGTGTGAGATGACTTAAGGTCAAATTCCACATGCATCAATGTATCTGAGGAAAGAGACAAATGAATTAAAAAAACATCCGTCTTACGAATTTGTCCTGACGCGAGTTTAACATTTTTTACCCATTCCAAAAAAGTGTACAACGTCGCTAAAGAAGTTTTCACTTTTCAAAAAAAAGTTTCAAAAAAAGTAAAATTCAAAAGCATTTACCATTAGGGCCGTGGCGCATCTAGCATACGACGTATTCGCAAAATATTGGACAGCACAAACACTTAGAGAATTCAATTCTTGAGGTCCCTTAAAAAAAAAAAATTTTCGAGAAAGGAAGGTGCTCTTCCCTCAACCTAAAGGATGGATCGTCAATCAGTCTAACCACTGATTATCTCGAACGCCCCAGTGATTGAGGATGTTGTATAGATAGCAGAATAACTTTGTTAGTGCGTTTCAGTCACCAGAGTGATTGATTATTGTAGACGTAGATTGTAGATCTTCCTATATATTATATTACTAACTACTAACTTCTATCATTGGTGTGTGACCACTAAAAACACAGTTTTATTGCCTATCTTGCATTTTCGTTGGCGAATATAATTTCATAAGTGTGTTAACTTTTTGTTGTGTCTTCTAGGCCTGAATGGTGACAAAAGGTTTATCTACCTATAGTTAAGTTTATTTTTAATCGTTTTATGTAAAAGCCTTCTTAGTCTAATTGATTTATATTATACAATAGACAAAGTCCTTTAAAATGAGAAAGAAAATGCTTTATGTTAAGTCTAATTCTACAACATAGAATACCACAGATTCAGGAAGACTATCCCGCAACTTCTACTGTCTATAACTTGTCTAATTGGTAACAAAATTCAGACCTACAATATTAGGTCGTTTTTAATACATCGATTGCATACCTCTGGCATAGATGTGACCCTAGAGAAGCAAGAGATGCATGCATCTCGATTTGTAACGTTCGTAGGTTGTGCTGTACTGCATACTAAATTCAATAAATATTGTAGTTTTTGCCTAAAATAAAATAAAAATATTACAGAATTGGTACAGCAGCACTGCCGGCCATATAAGCGACTCTGAGGTCGAGCATTCAAATCCCGGCCGTGAGTGCGCTATTAATACTTGCTCGTGAGAAAACCGGCAAAACTTCAAATAAAATCGATGAAATGAGACTGGAAAAGGGTCATCACCTAATTCTATACTAAAATTATAAAGAGGAAAGATTTGTAGTAGTATGTTTGTAACGAATTGGCTCAAAGGTACTGGAGCGATTTTAATAACACCCCACCATTTGAATGCTACATTATCACTGATTAATATAGGCTATTTAAATTCAAAGAAAATTACTACTTACTAAAATAATAATAATAATGTTACCCAAGGTGTAAAATAATGCCTATAAAATATCTTTCAACGCATGCGCTGCGAAAACTATTGATGAAAGAACAAAACAAATGTTCCACAATAATAAAGAACATTTTAATATCTACAAAAAAAATTAAGCTACTTGGCTATAATTAAAATAAATTGGTTACAGACATATTCTGTCTAACGTCACTAGATTATTATTACTATTTATGTTAACGATTAAAAAATAACTTGCCCGTTTGATGGACACAATGATGTTAATTTTTGTGTTTTCCATTGCAATAATTTGTTTTTAACATCGCTTAAATCAAATATACCGTTTGGGGCCACTGCAACCTGTAATCAAAATAATATTTTGTATTATCTGGGAATAAATTCTTTAATAATTGTATAAAACATTACGACCTCACTCAGATTAAGCAAGTGTTGGTGCTTCCATTGCATAACATGATTTTTTATTTCGTTAAGGTCTACCAAGGTACCGTCAAGTCGTTTTATTTGCTAGAAACATATAAAAAATGTTACTTAACGGAATGCAAATAAAAATATCTGAAATAAATGAGCTGTGTTGGCCTAGTGGCTTCAACGTGCGACTCTCATAACTGAGGTCGTAGGTTCGATTCCCGGCTGTTCACCAATGGACTTTCTTTCTATGTGTGCATTTAACATTTGCTCGAACGGTGAAGGAAGACCGACATGTCTTAGATCCAAAAAGTCGACGGCGTTTGTCAGGCACTGGAGGCTGATGGCCTACTTGCCAAGCTTTAAAAATGATAATGAAACAGATTCAGAAATCTGAGGCCAAGACCTAAAGAGGTTGTAGCGCTACTGATTTATTTTACTTTTAAATAAATATATCACCAATTATATTACTCACAATAGCTAAAAACACGAAACCTATGTAGTATTGGCTTTTTAACATTTTAAATACGTCCGACCAACATTATTTCTACAAAGCTAGTAACCATTGAGATTTTAACATAGATTGACAAACAATTACGATACGATTCATTTAAAATAATTTAGTTGGAAAGTTAATGTTGGTATAATAAAAAGCACCCAGTTATTAAGTTAAATCAGTTATGAGTGTAACATCGATATCGTGCGTCGATTCCGTATATGATTGCCGATTGCTTCTTACTACATTGCTCTTGTAGTAAGAAGTTGTGGTCTCTTCTCCTAAAGTCCTAAAGGAACGAACGGACGAAAAAGGACGAACAGTGATGGATTTAGCAACAGGCAGAGTAGGTTGGAACCTAGGGCGGCAAATTTGGAAACCGTTTTTTTTTCTACCTCATAGAAATTAAAAAGATATCTGCATGGCGGTTTTCTGATGTTTTACGGATAGAAGTCTGCATAAAATTTTACCCAACCCCCCCAAAGCTCACACTTTTCAGTGAAAGTGAAAAGTGAGTGTATTTTCCTTTTCCTTCTTCCTCCTATCAACCTATACGTGTCAGTCCTACTACAGGTGGAGGCTGCGAACAGGATGGTTTGTGTATAATTTTGTGCTCATAAATCAAATTTCACAGCCTATATCTTTAAAATTTGTAAATCCGCCACTGAGGACGAACCAATCTAAACGCTGCCTGCCTTACGGGGGAACCCAAGGTCGACTCGAGCTATAATAATTCAATAGGAAGAGCAACCTGCAAAAAGCAGAAAGAAATCTCTTTCAATCAATCTATGTAAGGAAAATAAAAAATAAGAATTAGGTTAGAAGAAGAGTAAACTATAGGAGATATAGGTAGGTACTTATATAACTATATAAACAAAGAAAAGAACAAAACACTATTTTCACATAAACAATTAAGAGAATATAACTAATCGTGATAATTTCTAAAGTATGTGAGGAATACCATGTGGCATGCTTGTACAGTGGAGATTTAAAGGATGATAGAGAACTAAACGGATTTCTATAGAATAGATGAGTTGTGTTGATGTATAAAATAAAATAGGTTGTTGTTGATGTATAAAATAAAATATTTTATACATCAACAACAACAGTAACAAAAAGTCTATTAGTAGCTTGGTGTTTACAAGCAAATATAATAAAACAGTTAATTAGTATTACAATCATCCTTTATTTTGTTTTATATAAAATCTGAAGGCGGACTTTGGACTACGGCTGCAATATATACAATTTCATTTAAGTATAGGATAAAATATTTTTTATTCTAACTCTAAAACTATTCAGATTATTATAGTATCTCGAATGTATATTTATCTTATTACAATAATAACACTTTATGGTCCAATACTCATAGCTATTATTCTTGTGACAGAACCATGAAGTTGTGAAAGTTTTCACAAAACAGTTTATCCTAAACATTATTCAAGTAATATAATGCCACACATTAGGAAACAACAAATAATATTAAACATAGGTACCCACATCATATTTTTGTCAATTCCTCTTTATTGAATTAACTCATCTATATAGCAAAAGGTTTTGTAGTATAGAAAAAACACTTTGAATTGTATAATATATTTAGTTTAATGTGGTCTATTTTGTTCTATTTGGAGCCTGCAATAATAGCGTAGGGACGGGACTCGCGAGAAATATTGTTGGAGAAGATGGTACACAAGCCATCTCGCGAGGTTCTGTAACATAAGAGAGAAAATTACATAAGTATCCTAACAAACCACGAGCGTTGGGGAGATAAGAAGGAAACAAAATAAATAACTTTAAAAAAGAAGATAATAGTGGTACGTCATTTTATAAATAATATTTTAATAGACATGTCGGTTGCATATGTTATAAAATCTGTATGCATAAGGTTTTTGTTTAGTTTACACAGTCGATATACTTAATTTAAAATGTAGGCAATGTGCAATAAAAATGGTGCAATATATTTATGAAAATATTATGTACCTATTTATATAAAAATAGTGATAAGTTTACTAGAATAGAACATAGGCACAATGTTAATACTCGGAACAAACGCAGGCTGCAATTTCCCCGTACTATCACACTATCTAAAGTTAGTAATTCTTTTTTGAGAAAAGGGATACTCTTCTGTAATAAAATCCCAGTGGCTCTTTTATCTCTGCCTTTTAATAAATTTAAGAAATGTATTAAAGAAAAGCTGTGTAAAAAGGCTTACTACAAAGTTAACGATTATCTAGTTTATAAAAGGGCCTGGGACTAGTGCTAGACAGGCTACTTCTAATTAATTTGCGATATTTGTTTTAAAACAAGTGTTGTTTGATGATTTGCTATTTTAAAAGAGTACCGAGTTTTTTACGCCAGCTTTTTCTCTCGGCCTACACTCTCCGTCTTCTTTGCCGATGAGTAGGGACGCCTACAGATTCAAATTTAATGACGTGAAATAAGTGATACCTGTATCTTATGTTCCATAATAAACATATTTTATCAAAGTAGGTACAATATATTTTATAGAAATTTATTTTTTGAAGTTATACTTCTTTAGGCGCGTTATGAAAAATTTATGAGAGTGAAATTTTACAATGCGCGCGCACCGTGACACAAAATTAGGAGTGTGATTATAGCGTGCGCGAGCGAGATAGGAATAAGACAATCTACAAGTAAAAAGAAATAGAATATGCGTGAAGTTCGTATGCCAAGAATTTTGAATGACCATAATGACATTTGTCATTTACCTTTTAAACAAATAAAGGAGTTTTAATTATTTTTTCTAAGAAATTTAGCAATGCTTTTTGAATTATATATAATCAGAAGTGATTTAAATTGAATATTTAAACCAATACTAATTAATATTTGTGAAAAAACTGTGCTCATCAACCTTCCTAAGTGCTTCATTACAATTGAGGTTAACTATCAGTTTGTATTATTATTATCGAGTAATGTTTTGATTAAAAAAATTACCACATTGTTTAATCAAAAAATGTAATTTTTCTCTAGCAAATATAAGGACAAGAGACAAAAAACAATTGATGAATCAGTGTAAGTGCACTAAATTGAATACAAAAAAAGAGTTGTCATCTTATCGCTGTGAAACATCAAAAACTGGAGGTGGAACAAAGCCAAACTATTTTTAATAATGCCAAAGAAGTATAACTTCTTACGCGCGTACATAAGTACACGCACTCTTTTTTTTTTGCAATCAGCGATAAACGGTATTCGTCGTTTTAAGGCTAGGGCACTGTCAATGTCATATTCTAGTATTTCAAAACCTAAAATCTCAATGACAATTTGTCTTGTGACTGGGAGGGGTGGTCAATTGGAATTGGGAAAACGATATGTCAGCAATCTTGTATTGATTTCTGTAATTTAGATTCAGTTCAGTACTATTTCGATCTTACTTACTAGCGATTAGTTCATAGTAGATACTTAAGTGTTTCTATTAAGTTAATGAGATTTTATCAGCCTTGTGGTTGTATATTTTATTTCTTTTCTTTTTATTTAACGTATAATGATTGAAGGCAAAGCAAATGTAAGTATATAACACTAATAGGTTATCCCTTAAAGTGATGCCTTCTGTAACTTATATTAATTTCAGGAACTACCAGACTTCCAGGTCTTCAGGACAGTAATAAAATACTGCTTGTTTATTATTGTCGTTCCTGTTTTATCTTTCTTCTCGGCAAAGACGATACTCTTTGATGGAATATTACGCTTAGCGCCGATTACTAGTAGCGTTTATTCAGCTGTGGTGGCTGTAATTGTTTTACACGTTACTTTAGGTCTTTACATATACAAGGCCTATACTGAGGCTGAAAAGCCAGAAAAACCTGTTAAAAAAGATTAATAAATTCTATTAATTTCCATCTTAATCTTTATTGCCTCTAAATCACAATGGACAGCCTTTACATGAAAGGAGAATTATTACAACTGCATACAAAAGACTCAGAAATTATTGAGGGAAGATTTTACAGCATAACAAATGATAAATCTAAAATATCTCTCTATGATGTTAAGGAACTTCCTAATGATGACAAAAATGAATCTGTATTTCACTATTATGACTCTGAGGTGCGTGAAATTGTAAAGCTTCAAGAATCTGATAAAGTAACCTTTTTAAAAATATCAGAAAAAGAATGTGAAGATATTTTAATGACATCTAAAAAATACATTTATATAAATCAAGTTGATAGCACTTTCCATGATGCATTAGAGATGCTAAATCAGTACAGTTATATTGGCTTGAGCACAGATGGAGCTCATATGGGACGGAAGTGTAAAATGCCTTTCTTGGTTCTATCAACACCTAAACAGATTTTTATTTTTGACATTCATGTTATGCAGTATCATGCTTTTGAAGGTGGATTAAAGAAACTTCTTGAAGATGAAACTATAAAAAAGATTGTTCATGATTGTAGAAAACTCGCAGATTGTTTATATCACAAACATAATATTAAGATAAAATCCATTTTTGACACACAGGTTTGTATTAATAGTCCACCTACAGTTGTATTATTTATCTATTTAATTTATTACCTATGAACAAAAAATTATTTTGCAGGTTGGTGATCTTATTATCACAAAAAATAAAATGGGCCATTTGGTAGGAAATGTAAAAACATTAGCACAATGTCTTAATACATATCTGGGACTGAAAGAAAACATGGTGGACGAAAAGGTAAAACATTTCTAAAAGTTAGTTCCTTTTCTGGCTCAATTCTTTATTTTACAACTCCTTATAAAAAATGGTTACCAAGAGTCTTTTAGAATAAGAAATATTATTATTAGAGATTAACTATTAAATTTGATTAAAAATAGTAAAATATAATTGTGATTGGTTGAATTCAAATAAATATAGAAAGGTTTACCACAATTAGGTCATACTTCACAAAAAGGTGGTATCTTTAGAAAACTATATATGTATTAACTTTTTATTATATTTACTTTTAGCTGGATATAGTACAGTGTACTGAAAGACCTCTACCATTAAATATAAAAGAGAGTCTCGCTAAGAACATCGCTTTCTTGCACCGTCTATCAGATATTATCAATGATGAAATGCAACTACCATTTTTACGGGGAGTTGAATTTTTCATCAACAATCTGAGGTCATGTGATGATTTCAAAGCTTGGGAGCTGTGTGGAAAATACAACCAGATACCAAAGGATTTTAAGAGTGCAATAGAGTACTAACATTCCAGCAAGAAATAAATTGTAGAAGTAGGATTTTATTTTATTTTGCCATTTTACCTTAGTTTACACAATTATTTTAATGTGTATCAATTTAATACTCTCTCATTGTGAGGTGATTTTCTTTGAGAATTCAAAATTGAAAGAAATGGCATTTCTTTGTGGCAGTATTTTAATGGAGTCACAAAATTCAAAGCTTTTCTTTGACATATTTACACAATATACTTTCCTTGCAAATGATATGTATGTTTATAGCTTTTAATAGCTTTATAAAAGAAATGTTGGCTATCTGTGATTGATGTGTCTAAAGCTTGTGGCTAAACAGTACCTATTGTTATGTCAATAAAATGGAAGCTATTTTTTTAACTGTATCTTATAGTATATATTTTAGGATGCAAATTAATATCATTAATATAAGATTCTATGCTTTTATAAGTCTAAAATGTATTAAATGTCTTGAAATAATACTAAATGATACCTACCCCTTTGCATTAAGATTTTACTCTCTTTTCCATTTTATAGGTCCTAAGAGAGAATACCAATGGCAATGTTAATCCTGTAATATATCTTTGATGCAAATGGGTCGCTCTCATTTAAGGCTTCTGCTACTAAGGTATAAGCACTAACTTCTAGACTAATCAAGAGTATAACAATGTATGTACTTATATTTTGTGTTATTTTAGTAAGGGTCTTAAATTAAAATAAATTATTGAAATTTTTTGAAGTCAAACTATATTAAACTGGCAAGGTAAGACTTAAACCACTATAGGAAGGTCATAGGTTATTTCGATGCAAAATTTATGGTGGTTTTAATAGTCCCTATCTATCACGTAAGGGACGTGAACAATACTTCTGCGCACAAATGTTTGCCGCCAAAGTTGGCATCGAGATATAGTTCTATACCAAGCGAGAAAAAAATTTGTAGGCAGAATATGAACATTAATTTTAAAGGTATAAGTTAATGATAAAATAAAGTATTCTTAAGCGTTAACATAAATTGCTTACAAGCTATATTGCTATTATCAAATTTATATAAAGGAAATTAGACAAGAGTTAAGAGCTTTATAAACTTTGTGAACGCTTCAATAAAATGTCTGCTTAAAAGGGTGTTTTACTAAATAACACAATCGATTGAAGAAAATATATTTTCAAAGATAAATTTACACTTTGCTTAAAAATAGATTTGGATAGAAAGCTAATCCTTCAATAGATTCATCTCTGCAGGCGAGGCCGAGTCGTTCTGTAGTAAAAAGACGTTCACGAGCAAGTAGGACGGATACGTTTGCGATTTGAGATAGTTTTATTGGAGTCAGCGAGCCGTTTTCTTCAATCTGTAAAAAATACGGTAGTGAACAAACATCTTAAGGATAAACTTAGTTGTTATTCTAAGGCTAACTCACGAAGCGGTTTTCACCCGCGTCCCGCGCCTGCCGCGGTGGCGGAATGGAGTTTTATTTTCAAAACACACGAGACCGGAGTGTTGTGCGTTCGGTAATAAAAATAATGTGCGATCGTTCGCAAAATTGGCGATTGATTATCGCAATACGGGCGGTTCAGTTGAGTTCCGGACCGCCATGGACACACACCAGAAACGAGCTGTTGCGTTATACTTACTTCACAGAAGAATTAAAAAAAGAAGGCCTAAAAGGTTCTGGGTGCATCCACTGATTGCACTGATTGGGAAAGAGATCGTTATGGATTATTTGTTACTCTTATTAATGAGTTAAAGAAGGATGAAAAAAAGTTCTTTAATTATTTTCGAATGTCCGTCCGATTGTGTGCGGTCACACGCCGCGGGCGTAAAACGCGTCGTGAAATGTGCTTTAATTTTTTGCATAAATATCTGTATTCTACAAAGGCTGCTGGCCCGCAACCACGGCAGGCGCGGGTGAAAACCGCTTCGTGAGTCAGCGTCACTCTAGTTTTTATAATTTGAAATGAATTATCCGAACAGGAAACCAGTTCATAGTAGGGTTGGTACAATATATTATGTTCTTATTCACATTCGTGGCCATATGGTACAGTTATTCAAATTAAGGTTTTAATCTTTAGTGATTTTTTTCTTTACCACATTTCTTTGTGTTTGTTTATATATCTCATTTGTGTACATAAAATTATATGTGTCTGCTCTTTAGCCACGATTAGTCTGTTGTAAATACTATTAATAATGATAAACACTAGAAATGGTATTGCGTCTTCTATGTGTAGATATTCAATAGTTATTAAATCAGCACAATCATACAATTTCAGATTTAAGAATATCAATTAGACAAAGTTATCTCGTCCAATTTCCAATGAGACTATGAGTATCATGACAGTGGCAGCAAGATAGGCTTTAATTGCGCAACCGAGGCAAGATTTTTCATATACAGTGTAAACTCTTTATAACGAATTTCCGAGCATTTCTATTGGTTATATGGAGGGAAGAATTAATGTATGGGTATCGGGTTAAACCTAATAAATGTAACTCATTTTTACGTTATAACGAATGACGTTATAAAAAGTTTACACTGTACTACTTGATTTTTTGTCCCACCCGAGATTAATACCTCTCATGGTCTAGTTGATTAAAAAAATATAACTTCGATATTATTAATTTTAATTAGTAAGACTTATAACGAGATAATTCTGTACTGAAAATTGTGTCAAAACGTGTATGTATAGAAATTGAAAAAAAAAAAAAATTAACTCTCAGATTATAAATAGTTAAAGGAATGAGCTGCTAAAATAGTTTAAATATCTATAATTTTATTCATTAGGTACAGGGATTGTACCTATTAAATAAATAGTGTCACAAATTTAACAGATACAGCTACCTAAATAAAAAAGTCCGTCATTCGGTTTAAAATATTAAAATCTCCTTGATAATACAAAATTTGTGGTATTATCCATTCACTATCTTAGTGGTTTTTATTATTTATCACTACATATTCCGTGTTTAAAGAACGCCATTATACAGTGTTTTTAGCTAACGTAATTCAATCTGATACAAAATGCTTGTTCCTTCACATTTTTTGTTCAAATTTCAAGCTACAGAGCTTGCACAATGTGCAGACAGAGAATTGAATACTAAAAAAATTAAGAAATATAAAATATACCAATTGACTAGTAGTTTTGGCAACTTCTTCATCTCTATGGCTATTCAGTTGAAGCACGCACGCCCCACTCGGAAATTTGCGAAGGGACATTGGAGCATCGATAGTAGGTAGTAATCTGAAAATGTCGTCGAAAAGTGTTTACGAATTTGGCAGTTAATAATTCAGAGTCTGTCTCTGTTTATGTCACCACCTTGTAGTAGGGGGCCCAAGCGGGGATTCCGGGAATTAGTACAGCGTGGCAGATTAATATACAGGGAGATACCTTGTACCCGGTTAAGTACCTCTACCAAATATGAGCCTCATATATATGGCCGCCCGCCATGGATAAAGGATCAGAATAGTAAAAAAAATCATCAGACTTTCTCGAGCGCGTCTGATTAAGGTAGGGTTAGTTAATTACATGACAATTTGCAAGTAACGTAAAGAAAGGGGAGGGCTGCATAGTTGTAAATAAAAAGTCCTTTCGACATTCTCGAGCGTGGCTGATTTTTTTTTTATTTTGAAGGAAATAATTCAATGATGACGAAAAATATATAAGGTGACGATTCCCACAAGCCGAAGTTAGAAAAATTCGTCGATAAAGTTTAATACGTGCGGCTCCGTGATGCCTATATTAGTTTAAAAATAATAACTATGCGTAATATTAACATAAAAGTGTGTATTTCGTGGTGAAACTACTTTGCAAAAATCCATAAAATGTACTTTATAAAAATTCGAAAAATGTATAAATATTTTAGAATATCGTCGAAGTAAACAGGTTCTTCCGGTTATTTTTTATTCTTTTTAAGCATTTTTTAAAGCAAAGTTATCTATTATAATATAATAAATACAAGTTCTACTTGAACAACATACACTTTTTGCTATTCAATCAATTATGGTCAATAATTAAAAAATTTTTTTTTTTTAATTATCAGATTAGGCAAATCCCTCCAGATAATCGTCAGATTATGAGACATCACGTCTAGGACATAAAGATGAACCATATATATCCTAATCTGACGCGCTTGAGTATTTGGCGAAAATGGCGAATTTTTTTAGCACATTCTTTTAATAACCGCGAGTTTGCGTCACATCCAAATCGTCAGATTATGAGATGAGAGATTTTTTTAGGTTCACTTAACACCTCTTTAGAAAATCTGACGCGCCCGATTAAATTTGTTTTTTTTTTCATTAACAACCCTTACCTACGACCACCCCCATCATTCAAACAATCAGATTAACATACGTAGATACATTATTAAAAATACGTAGGACATGGATGCTATCAATATCTGACGCGCTCGAGTATTTCCATGGCACAGTTTTTTTTACATTTTTGAAAATCTATAGCCGCTCCTCCCACCGACGAAAAGGTATACATCATATAACATTTTTTGCTTATTATTATCTAACCTTCGCAATCTATGACAGTAAATCTCCATTTAGCATCGTGGGCTCCCTTACTATTTGCAGGATACAAAAATGAGAGTTATAACAAAACATATTTTAAAGGCATTTCTGGACCCATTAGAAAATATACGAAAAATCCATACTTGCAACCATTTAATAAATCTTCAGGCGATATAAGCTCTAGACCTCTTGCCCTGTTCACTCTGCACCATACATCAGCCAATGACATGATGCCTCCAGAATCCTGAAAATTATTTATTACAAGACAAATGGCGAATGGGAGGCTGTTAATTTTGGATTCTATTCGGTGATCTACTACTAAAAAGAAAAAACCAACCACGAAGTTTTTATGATTCATGCTACTATCTTGTTTCAATATCATATTTAATGATTTGATTCAATGAGCCAGATGAGGTCTCATTTCATTTTCATTTTATATCAATAAAAAAGAAGACTTGACTGTATGGGCATAGTTCCCTTTGCCTACCCAGAATGGGTGAAGAAAACAAAAAAAAAATCTCTGCTTATATGTATATAAAAATGTTCTTTGCGAGTTTAGTTGTTTGTTGCACAAAATCAGTAATTTAGACGATATTGTATTTGAATGAACACCACCGGAACGCAGTATAATTACACAAAATGCTTCAGAGAACATTTTACCGGAAAAGTAAAAAAGTCGCTACATAATTACTACATACGACGAATTTATTGCGTGGAGAGATGAGAAAAAAGCAAATAGTTTTATAAAATTGCTTCAATTTTTCGCAATTGTATTAAAAATAATTGTTCAGTACACGTGCGGAACCGTCATTGCAACTTGTTCCGACTGTCTACCTTCAGGTGAAGCGCAGCCGAACGTTCGCCTGCGCTTCGGCTCGGGTAGATATTTGTCGGGATTCTTAGCAATGACAGACTTTCTGCACTCGTAATGAAATATACTATTGTATATGTCTAATGCTACATATCAAGGTACTTACCATTAGAACTGCAACCATCATATCAGAAATTTGTTGTGCAAGCCCCATGTAGTAATCTGAATCTGATCTAAAAGCATCTCTTGTAACAGGATCATCTATACCAAGACTCATTAGATATGACTTAAATCTTACTGTGTCATCTTCTGATATATCACCTTGCTTCTCCTGTAATTTAAAGTATTTATAAAGCATTATTATTAGTATTGCTTTTATTGCTAAACTACAGACACTAAAATATAATAAAACAAAATCCCAATAAGTCCAGGCATAGGCAGATACCAATTATAGTAGTATGAAAAACAAACACTTTTATAATAATTATATGATTACTAAATATGTAATAATTCTTTAGAAATGGTAGAAAAATTATTAAAATACCTTACCCTTATTTTAGTAGATATTGTTTTAGAAATGGAAACCATGTCCTTAGCCTTTTCCATAAGTTTTGTTAAATCTTTAAATGCCACAGTGATACTCTCATCTGTGGCTTTCTGCTGTTCTTCAATGCTTCTTTCAATCCCAACAATTCCAGAACGAATTTTGGCACCAATAGGAGCTATTGACGAACGTGGGCTCATAGTGGGGCTGCTGAATGCATTTGTTTCTAGTGGTTGTCTTTCCCATAGTTTATTAGCAACGGCCTCACTCAAAGCCTTATAAAAAGCAGGGTCAATGCCATCTTTGAATGAGAGTTTAATGAAATGGTAAGTACTGATTACTGCTGGCCCAGGTCTTTTGCCTGAAAGAAGAACAAAGCAAATTAAGAGCTATATTTAATAGTTTATATACTACTGAGCTATGTAGAGATTGATTGTTACCAGGTAGTGCAGGTCCCAGATGCATAATAATACGTTTAGGCCCTCCTAAACCAAAAACACCTCCATTCTCTTCTTCCAAACAAAACACATAATACAAATATAGAGATAAACATATAAGTCCTTTAGGTATATCTCCTGGTTTTCCCCAGAGGAGTCTATGTGAAGTAAGAACGACTTCACCGTCAACATATTGAGTCTAAAATGTAAGTACAAATTAGAAATACTGATAGATATTAATTAATAGATAGTTGATAAGAAAAAACTTAATTTTAATGTTTAAAATATTTGTAGGTTTCAATGGTAAATTGTTAATTCATCATAGATAACTGTAGGTTTAACTTCCACAATAATTAGTTTAATGTGTCAATTCTTGATAATTTTAAGTATATAAAACATACCTTATCATCGCCATCATATAATTTCACATTTTTATCGCGTTTGATATAGTTTTCTCCTTCACATAATCTTGCTTCCATATACTCAAATCTATCCATTTTGCAAAAACCACATAAGTGGGTGTAGTACTCTAAATAAATATTATAAAAGTGATTAATTATTCGTTTTATAAATTTTTAAGATTCCTCAATTATTCATCAAAGTACACAAAAATATTAAATCATTATTTACTCACGTTATGGACTTTTTTAAATTTAAATATTAGTTCATTAAAAGACAACATTTATTTCGAAATCATCTTTGCATGTAAATTTTATGTTTAGCTCTAGGGCCTAGAGTCTAGGCGATAGCATTTACGCTCATATTACTTACTTTTTATCTTTTAATATATCGTTTCAATAAATTTCTGTTTTATGGGATATTGGTTTAAAAACGTAAACACAGTCATCTGTCACATGGCCTATAGAGTACAGAGTACCTAAGACCACAGATCAAGTCCAGGTAAAATAAAGTCATACGTAAATCCCACACAAGTCACACAAAAGAGATCCAAATCCCATAAATGTCAGCTGTTAACTTTTTAACTTTGACTGATTGCTTCTAGATTTACATGACGTCTAGCCTCTAGGTAAAATAAATTTATAAAAGTGATCGCTAGGAAACGGTGAATAAAATTCTGTGACAGAGACAGTTCACAGTGTGAAATGTGAATAAAAAGTTAGAGGTTAGGAAGTAAATTAGAGGAACATCATAATTTTAAACATTACAAATATTTATACTTTACTATAACAAGTACTTTATTTTTTGTCCATCAATAAATTACAGTTTATTTGAAGGCTAATCTAATAATGAAAGGGATTGCAAAATAAACACTGTTAACCAAAAGATTAGATTCTTAAGAACATCCATTCACTTCAGTGCTTAGTGGTTACGTTGCATTTTAACGCAAAAATTTGGATTGATTGATTTTTAAAAGCAATGGCAGAGTCGCAAAATTTATTATTACAGCAAATCAAAGAGCAAGGTGATCTCGTTAGAAAGTTAAAAGCGGCGAAAGAATCTAACGAAAAGGTATGATTTAAATATAAGTTAACTCTTCCAAAGATTGCATCAGTTAATTTTGCCATTGTATTTGATGTTGTAGGGTATGATAATAAACAAAAAAAAACAAGATCTTGGTCAGATTGACAGACATCTATCTCAATACAGCTATATTTGTGGTTACTTACCTAGTAAATATGATTTAGAACTACTAAAAAGTATAAATTTTGATGTTGATTTCTATAAATATGTGTATATTAAGAGATGGTGGTACCATATGAGGAGTTTCAGTGACTCTGAAAGATCTTTGTTACCTGACAGTAAACCAACAAGAGATGTAATTGATCTACTAAAACCATACCATTCAGTTAATTATGATTATCAGGTCTGTCTTTTAACATTACACTAAGTTATGCACTGTAAAAAAATAGTCAAGCAAGTTATCAAGGCATGCTATGCTTTAGTATGTTGAGTTGGGACACCCCATATGGTTTTTCGTTACCACTATTACTGTTAATCATAAATATTTTTGTATTTTTTTCCGGTAATTGAAAACATCAGTGGTGACGAGGAATCATATTGGTGTTGTATTTGAAAGTATATAGAGAAGCATGTTTCATCAAGTGGTTAGATTTGTAAATTATAATGCAACATTCTTATTGTTGCATAAATCAGCTTTTAGCCGCGGTTTCACAAAAACAATTGCAACAACTTCTAATTCCAAGGTATTGAACATTATAGAGAAAGCTAAGCTTTTGATGTTCATATTGATTAGAATATCTTTTAGTATAATATTTGCAATGTAATAAATTTTTCTTATATTTAATAATATTATTTTAGATACAAGAAGAGGTATCCAAATTATTGGGATTAAAAGCACAACTTAACACTGAAGATGCCGCACCTCAAAAATTTACTCTTAAGACACCAAAAGGCACCAGGGATTACAATTCCCAACAAATGTCAATAAGAAACAATGTTTTGCAGAAAATTACTACCATATTCAAAAAACATGGAGCAGAGTGTATTGATACACCTGTTTTTGAACTGAAGGTACTGCAATAAATTATAAAAATAAATAAAATAACATTGGAAATATATATAATGTGTCAAATGTAATAAGTAAGAAACATATGTGTACTTTGCATAATGGCTTTCTTTTTATAAATTCGAAGATAACATTATTTATGCAATATGTAATTGTCTTTTTGTGTGGAACAAAATATTAAAAAATTAACAAATTTTCTTTAAAGAATTCTGTACTTATACTCTATAGGTATGTATCATTGTTAAATAATATTTTTATTTCAGGAAGTATTAACAGGAAAATATGGAGAAGACTCTAAATTAATTTATGACTTAAAAGATCAAGGTGGAGAAATATTATCTTTAAGATATGATCTTACAGTTCCCTTAGCTCGGTACTTAGCAATGAATAAAATAACAACACTAAAAAGATATCACATTGCCAAGGTTTATAGAAGAGATAATCCAGCCATGACAAGAGGGAGATATAGGGAGTTTTACCAATGTGTATGTATAACATATTTAAATTTAACCTATATAATTTTAAGATTTATTCTTAGATTCACCTAGATCAAATTTATTCCTAGATTAGCCTAGATATTTCTGGCAGATTTTTAGGCAAAAAAAGGTCATGCGCCATCATAACAACACTAGTTATGGTGCTGAGAACTCATGACAAAGTCATAAAAAAAAAAATCAGCCTCAAAATAGCTGGTGGCTCGATACGGAATATTATACATATTTCTTTGCAATCCTAATTGGGCATGGGACAGACACATTCTAGTATTTGCTTCATTATTTCTTTTTTGGCCATCGAACTAAAATTAATTTTATTTGCATTGTGTTCCCTCCCTGTTGCTTTTGGTTACAAATCCATTTTATTATACTCACATTAAATATAATATAAAAATATTTAATGTGTGTATAATAAATAAATGTAACATATAGTAAATAATAAACTACTTACTGCCAAACATAGTAATTTAAAGAAAACTTAAACAAAAAAGGTTATTATATTATTAAGGTTAATAAGAATACATTAATATCCGTTAAAACTCGTGTTTAAGTTTGCGTGATGATTGATACCATTAAAAACACAAATGCCTCGATTCTTATAATTTAACTTGAATAGGATTACAATTGAATTAAATTCGCGTTAATCAATATTTAACTGTATAACATGTTTATAAAGTTCATATTAATTATTAACGAGAGTTCAAAGGTTTACGAATCGGTATATCGATAGGTAGTATGGAAGTTTGAGCATTATCAGATTCGGTATAGAGATTAAATTCCTCAACTATTTACATATTTTCTCGTTCCTAAAGTGTGTGAATCAGATTCAAGTTTATTAATAGATGCAATCATTACAAGATGTAATTGAGTCTATTTATGATATTAGTGTTAATTACCGTATATGTAATGTTAAGGATAAATTAAATGGGGCTATTTCGGCGTTAATTATACATATACATATATTTGTTACAAATTGCAATATGGTCCACACGACACAATTGTGATAAATTTCCTATGGTTTGAGGAACATATTTTTTACTTAAAAGACAAAGATCAGAGACCAATATTCTGCTTTGTGGCTTCAATAATACCTTAGTTCTTATTCTATATATTTTTTCTAAATCTTAGACTACTTTCCACCTACTTTTTAAAAAAAACATTCAGTTATCTTTATTACTTTGTATAGATCAAATATTTTCTTATGCAACTTGTTGCTTATATTACGCTCATATACCGTTAGTTCTTAGAGCAATAGAAACAAAGCAAAAAGCAGTTTAAGGTCAGAGAATTGTCGATCTGTGACCTCGATCTAGATACATTAGACAGCCTCTCACTACGCGATTTCTAAGAACACGTTCAAAAAATGTTACACTGCAAATAGATACAGTATTTGAAATTTTATTTATTAGTTTTTATATTTAATCCTAGACAAATTACTCTACTATCTATCTCCGTCTAATGCTATTACAGTCAAACCTGGATAAGCGAGAGTTCAAGGGAGCACAATCTCATTCTCGCTTATAGAGGTTTCTCACTAACACGAGTTTCTCGCTAATGAAGGTACATGGGTAGCATTTCTCTCTTATAGAGACCCGCTGCGTTGCTCATCGTCTTTTTATGTTTTTTTATTTTTGTTTTTTTTTTTTTTTTGATTTTTGGTAAAAATTCGTTCATTTATTATTTAAATAAAATAACAAGTGGCCGCACCTCTTTGCAGCCAGGTGTAACAGCAAGTAGACGGAATGTAGTAAATATGTAATATGATAAAATTATGTGTATAATGTGCACAACATTATTATGTACATATATATTTTATTTTATTTAGAACGCACATTCCCGTATTTCACATTACGTTTTTGATATACTTAGCGTTACTTTTACATCTAACAACTTATAACATTGTTTTTTTTTTTTTATTAAAAAAAAGATTTTTTAATATTAGAGATATTATTACAGAAAAAACTATTCTTTTTTTGATATTATAGAATATTAAAAGTAATATATTTTTTATAGGTTTTCGTTCGACGTGCGATTTCGACATCGCCGGCCAGTATGATCCAATGATTCCTGACGCGGAATGTCTTAAAGTGGTCACGGAAATCCTAGACGTCCTTGACATTGGCAAATACATACTGAAGGTGAACCACAGACGTTTGTTGGACGGAATGTTTGAGGCGTGCGGCGTCCCCGCAAAAAAATATCTCAATTATAAAAAAAAATTATTAAAAAATTAAATTTTTTTTTTACATTCCCTTTTCCCCCCCCCCCCCCCACAGGTCCCCTTTTTTTTTTTTTGCACGCCCCTATTTTTAATCTTATATTATTACCGTATAAGAGTTATTTTTTTTTATACATTTTTATTTATATTTTTAAATTGCGGAATTTTGATAGGCACCCTAGTAAATATATATTCTCTTATTATAATAAACATAATTTGGTTTTAAACATAGTATGAGCACCAATCTGACGGATTAGACCATTACGCAAATAAAAGTACACAATAAATGTAGTAAATATGTAATATATAAAATTATGTGTATAATGTACAAATTATTATGTACATATATATATTTTATTTTATTTAGAACTTATTTACACTTTAAAAATCCTAATGAATGAAAATGTAAATTTGTAATTTGTTACTGTATGTGTGAATGTTTATTCTCGCTTTTGTTCCTCCTTTTAAAAAAAAAAAAATTTTACCCCCCCTTTTTTTTTTTTTTTTTTTTTTTTTTTTTTTCCTTCCTTCCCCCCCCCCCGGAGAAAAAAACCCCCTTTTTTTTTTTTTTTTTTTTTTTTTTTTTTTTTTTTTTTTTTTTTTTTTTTTTTCCCCCCCCCCCCCCTCTTCTTTTTTTTTTTTTTTTTTTTTTTTTTTCCCCCCCCCCCCCCCCCTTTTTTTTTTTTTTTTTTTTTTTTTTTTTTTTTTTTTTTTTTTTTTTTGTTTTTTTTTTTTTTCCCCCCCCCCCCCCCCTTCCCTTTTTTTTTTTTTTTTTTTTTTTTTTTTTTTTTTTTCTCTCTTTTTTTTTTATTTTTTTTTTTTTTTTTTTTTTTTTTTTTTTTTTTTTTTTTTTTTTTTTTTTTTTTTTTTTTTTTTTTTTTTTTTTTTTTTTTTTTTTTTTTTTTTTTTTTTTTTTTTCCCCCCCCTTTTCCCCCCCTTTTTTTCCCCCCTTTTTTTTTTTTTTTTTTTTTTTTTTTTTTCCCCCCCCCCCCTTTCTTCCTCTTTTTTTTTTTTTTTTTTTCCCCTTTTTTTTTTTTTTTTTTTTTTTTTTTTTTTTTTGGGGGGGGGCCCCCCCCCCAGTTCCGCTCAACTTGCTCCACTATAGACAAGCTCGATAAGGTATGGCTTATGTAACATGAATTCTGGTTTTAAAATGTCAATTTTCTAAATTAAAAAAATATTTTTTATCATAAGTACCCCTTCACTTTTTGGAAGTAAATGAGGAAGTTGTATGTATAAAAATACCTGATCTATGAATGCCTTTAATATTCTAGTTCCATAGACAAATTAGGGGATCGGGGAAAATTAAATTTTAATTGTCAAAACAATGCTGGCTTATAAAATTTATCAGTTCAATATGACGGTAGAAAAAGCAAAGAATGGATTTTCTATATTAGATTTAAAATAGGAAATAACAAAATGGCCCCAGTAAATCAATATCTTCATTAGAAATACATGGTGATGTTTTATGTAATCAATGAAAGTTACAATGTCATTGCGTATTGAGTCAAGTGAAATCAAGTGTAACCAGTTTCTTGGAGGTGTGGATCGAGAAATGTTAATCGATGGTAGGACTATAATTAGACCTAGAATATAGGTTAACTTTGAATCAATAAAATATAAACTGTTTAGTATTTTATGAGTATAACAAGTTATTATTTTTTAACAATGCATACTTAAAGTATAAAAATCCGTATAAAAAAGCTAGCTGCAACCAATCCGTAACAAAATAATGTGTTGCCGAGAGTTAAGTTCGCTGGCGGTTGTTGGAGGGATGTTCAAATACGAAACACTTTGGTCGAAGTTGCCGACTTTATTTGTTTAAAACAACAAAAAATTCGTGGGGTTGCGACGCTGGACTTACAAAAACTAACGACTTATTTATGGGGTTTTGAAACTAAGTGACATCTGTTACATATAAAGAATATAAGTGAAGTCGTACATTCTCGTTTCCCAGAATGTTATATTACAATTTATGAATTGTTGAAGAACTAAAGTGCTAATTTATGACGTTTTACAATTTATTGGATGCAAGTGTAAGATGATTGGTGACATTTCTTTGCGCGTTTTATAGTTAACTAATATATACTAGCTGGCCTGGCGAACATCGTACCGCCTAACAGTCGATTCTTTATTTTTTTAAATACTTATTCTGCTATTCGGGACACCGGTCTAGCTAGTAAGATAAAAAAAAGAAAGTTGATAAGACAACAAATACATTATGTCAAAAAATAAAAATTTACCTTCCCGGAACCCCTCCACTAACACTTGAACTTTATGATATGGTATTAAAGTTCAAATTGACTTTTAAGTATTATTACAAATATTTTGTATGGTAATATAGAAAAGTGTTGTTTTTAGACTTTTTCCACTTTTTCCACAATTTTTTTAAATTTTTCTCTCCGTAAGAACCATCCTCGTACTTCAAGGAATATTATAAAAAAGAATCAGACAAATCGGTCAACCCGTTTTCATGTTATGTCGTGACAACGGAAAATGGGTTTCATCTTTATATATATACACACTTAACTAACGTTAGGTTACATAACTCCATAATCAAAGGAAATTTCGATAAATCAAAAAATATGTTGTGTCACAAACCGATAGTGATATGATCTCGGCTTTAAAAAAGATATAGTAATGTTGAGAATTAATTCTTATATGGTTTTCCCTTAACATCATTTTTAGACAATTAATTTCGTATTATGCCAACGTCATCTAGCGAGACTTGAATTAAACTATTTTATCACCATTATTCTAGTTACCATGGGCGGAAGTGAGAACTGAAATGATAAACGAAAAAGGCGTCACCCCCGAAGCTGCAGACAAAATTGGGGAATACGTACAACTCAACGGTAGTTCGGAGTTGGCTTTGAAACTCTTGAGTGATGAGAAGCTATCGAAAAGCAAAAGTGCTGTGGAGGGACTCGAAGGAATTAAGCTGTTGTTGCACTATTGTGAGCTGATGGGAATTAAAGATAAAATTCTCTTCGATTTGAGTCTCGCTAGGGGATTGGATTACTACACTGGAGTCATTTATGAAGCAGTTTTGACGCGTGAGTATAATTTATTTAATTATAACTTTATCTTGACCTATATTCGTTCATTGTAAGAGCCCTTTTCTTGCCTACTTCGGAAATAATCCAAAGACAAAACGCATTCGTATTCAATTTTAAATTTAATTACTGAAATAAGTTTAATAGAGTATTGGTTTTTGATTTGATTTATTCTTTTGACAATTTCAAATATTTTATTACCAGTACGGTGAAAATGATGAACGAAACTATGACGCAATGACGACAATTATAATCTACGGTTACAGTCACTGCGATGACGTCATACTCTGAAACGCGCTAACAAAGTAATTCTGCTAAGGATATATACTCTCCACCTTAGCCACTGGGGCATTAGAGCCGACCTCTCCATACCAATGCGGATGGTTTGATTTGAGAATGACCCTCATCACAAATCATCAAGCCCGTGGAGAACCGGCTCCGTTACCTGTTACCTTACCCTCGCTCGAGACGGGGTTTTAGTGCATATGTGGGGTCTTCTACCAGTCAGTGGTTAGACTGGTCGAGGATTTTATATTGGAGAAAGTCGGCCATCTCCTATAAGTTCGACTTGAAAAATCTGATTTCAGTGATTGAAAAATTTAAATTTTCAGACCCAATAAAAATAGGAAATGAAGATCAAACAGTGGGTTCGATAGCTGGCGGTGGACGGTACGATAATCTCGTTGGAATGTTTGACTCCAAGAATAAACAGGTAACCTATACTTTAACAAATGTTTATTGACTTATTTTTAAAACAATTGAAATAATGAATAACTGTCAAATTATATTAAACCTAAATTATAATAATCCAGTGGCGCTACAAAAGATTCAATTATATTTTTTGTTTAATTATAAAAATACTAGCGGATCCTACAACCGTTGTCCTGTACACATGTCTTACATACAAAAATATATCTAATAATGTAAATCATTCTCGACTCCACTTGTACACAAAAAAACTTTCATCAAAATCTGTCTAGCCGTTTAGGAGTTTAATTACGACCACATGCACAGAATATATATATATATATATACCAGCAGTTTATTTGCTGTATATATATAAATATTCTGTGTATTCTGATATATATAATATTGAAGTATGTTTTCTATATCTTACTACAATATGTGCAATAGGGAAAATCTATTCGAATTCCACTATATCTCCTATACATATATATATACTTGGTGTTAGATCAAACCGTTCTTTGTTGGACATTTTTTATTAACTAACCCACTAACAATAATCCACACTTTAGTGTCATGGTGTTAATTTTTCTGTATATTATGTTTCAGGTGCCTTGCGTAGGAGTGAGTGTGGGCGTGGAACGTATATTCTCAGTGCTCGAGGCGAAGTTGGCTGCGGGTGATATTGTAGTACGAACGACGGACATAGACGTATACGTTGCGTCTGCACAGAAGAACTTCCTCGACGAACGTATGAAGATCTGCGCGGAATTGTGGAATGCGGGAATCAAGGTATTTTTTTAAATAGAAATGTTAAGGGTAACTGGCATATTTTTTTAAATTACACTAGCAAACTCGGCGAACTCCGTCTCGCCACCAGATGGCTTCGTTTTATGTAACATTTCGTTTGGTGATCCCGCTTTTCTGTCTGAAATTTTCCCCTAAATTTTCCCCCTACTATAAACCTCCACGGAGCCTGAGACCTTTCCAACGAATGCAAAACCGTGGAATTGGTTTTTTGTTTTTTTCTGGATTTATAGCGCGTCAGGAAGGAAAACCCGACTTATTTTTATAGAGATACATACAAAAGACAATTTATTATAGCGTAATCTAGTTTAAGTGATTTTGTCCCAAGCCCCAGACTAGAGCGGGGCAGCAAACCCGTGTCTTAATCTATTTTGGACATTGTATGTATGTATGTAGGTTTCAAAATTTCGTGGAACAAAAAGCTTGCTTAATAAATGTACAAGCATCTCTGGCTATCAATTTTGACACCATATTTCTACCTTTATGTCATCAAACTTTGTCAAAGAGATTTTATTACATACTACATTATATGTGATAAGACTTTCCCTGACCTATAATGTTTCATGTAATGGAAAGAAAATATCCTGAAAACTATCCGTTCTATAAGAAATCATTAAAAAGATTTCATCGAATTGAAATTGAATTTTTTACTCACTATGAAATTATAAAATAAATGATTAATATTTTCAGACCGAGCAATCCTACAAAAAGAATCCCAAGATGCTCAACCAACTCCAGCACTGCGAAGAGAACGGAATCCCCTTCGCTGTGGTTCTTGGAGAATCGGAGCTCAAGCGTGGTGTGGTTAAAATCAGGAATATTACCTCTCGGGAAGAGGCTGAAGTTCCTCGAGAGAAATTGGTTGAGGAATTGGAGACCAGAATCGCAAATTTTGGTCTGAAGGAAATGAATGGGTCGACTTAAGGTACTAAGTGTGTTTTAGAGCGAAACTTTTCATTACAAAAATAATACGCGTTTTAATTGGTACAAATTTTTGTGTTATTCGTTCTAGGCCTGAAATATCGCTGACGATATATCGGAATTATATTTATATTATCGTTTCGATACGATGAAATGTGAAAAAAATGTGATTGTAATTTTTTTTATATAACGCGTATTGCTACATATTTATTATCTCAAGGAATATATAGGTTAAACCATTATTTACATACGATATTTTGATGTCATTTTCAAGATATAAATTATTAAAAAAACGTGTTTAAATCCGATGAAAAATTCATATTCCAATGAATTAGTTACAATGTTAAGTCGATTCGCTCTAAAATATATTTCTAGTTCCTCAAAAAGTGTGTACAAAATTGTATTAGTTAACATCATGATTCCTCATTATTTATTCTAATATAAGAATTTTCTTGAAACGATTTTACGAACGTGCATTACATTTTTTAATAGATTTATTTGCATTTTATTTTATGCCACGGAAAATGTGTTTATTGATAAAGTGCCCAAGACTCTGATGGAGATAAAATACAAAAAATTGCTTTTTGAAGGTCCTGTTTTGTGTCAGAAACTCTTTCATAAAACAGAGTTGAGTATGAGTTACCGCAAGAAATGTCAAATATGTTCATCATTACTATTTATTAAATGTCAAATGTCAAATCGATTTCTCTTTGTTTTTGGTTCCCTTTATCGCCATACTACGTATATTCGTGTATGATCCATAAAATTTTACAAATTCACAAGTTCTATTAAGTTTATTTTTATTTTGCTTCCATCTTTATAGCCGAGTCGTTTGACAAAATTTCGATATTAAAATATCTTCTACACAATATTAAAGACGTCCTTTATTAAACACATTTTCGCATTTATATGATTCACGAAATAGATCAATAAATATGGAAGTAGTAGGTTCCCTTGCTGTAGCACATGGTATGCTAACTATACTATTAATAAATTAATTTTGACATATTTGTGATATGAAATGGAGTTAAAAGCAATATTTGGGTATGGTAAGGTTCGTGTACGTACAGGGATCCGAACTGTACGTGTTTATTAGTTCATAACGATGCACGATGTACTTAGATTGTACGATATTTTTAAATGTACTAATAATAATATAGTGCAAAGCTATAACCCTAAATGTGTCTTGGCCTCAGATTGCATTTGTTTCTTTGAAAATTTTAATTTCATAGACAAGTGATCAGCCTTGTCTGACACGTGTCAAATTTTGGATTTGAGACAATTGGGTTTCCTCACGAGGTTTTCATTCACTGTACACCGATAGTTAGATGCGCATATATGTTGAAAGTCCATTGGTGCAAAGCCGGGAATCAAACCTACGAACTCAGGGATTAGAGCTACTAAAACCATATTAGGGACGTACAATTTTTACACAATCTATATAAAGTTGCACATTTACGGCCCTGGCTGATTGCGATAGCTGCCTGGCTTTAGGCATGAACACTGATGAATGAATTCCTATTTATTTATTTCGTGATACTAGGTAGAGAATTTTAGCGTTTATACATAATTGAGTTAATAAGCATTTTCAAGCAATAATTTGTTCAATGACTAATTAATGTTAACTTACCAATGTAGGTTTAATAGTATGAAAGTTCTGTTTAAGCTTGAACGTAATTTATCATAATGGATGTAAGCTTTTTCTGTTACCCATAGACTATTTGTATATCTGATAATTTTTTAATAAACATGGTTTAAAGTACTACAATTTTTTTATTTTAACTTTAGTTAATCTAACACTGACTTTTACCGCGTCCGTGGTTTAGCGGCATGTAGCTTAGTAAAGTAAAGAAAAAAATAATTTAATCACATAGGTAACATAATGTACACTTGTCAGACTTGTCAGTAAAGAAATACATATTAATGCTTCTAATTTTACATTTACTGCCAGTTCTCAAATCAAGGGCGTAGAACGGGAGAGAAGAACTGGCAATAAACTCGCCGCCACTCTTTTTAATCGCCATTTTTTTTGTTTTACAAAATGTTTGTAAGGAGCTGCAACCAATACACCATGTCCCATGTGACATTTTAAGTAATTCATAATAATAACATAAATTAAAAACAAAGATTTGTCCTCTATCAGCAGGAGGCATGGTGAAATAGGAGCACGCACTTACATTCTCGTGGGAACAACACGCAAACACATAATCGAAATAACCAACATCAAGTACGACCAGTCACCACAAACAGCACTCGTTCACGAGCATGACGCATGGCCAGTCATCGGCCCCCTCGCCATATTTTAGGGAGAGAGAACCCGACGCATGGACGCCGCCACAAGCAATGACATTTAAGCGAGCATGACGATCCTTGAAATGTGAAAATTATCAGTTTCACCTGATACACCGGATGATATTTCGAAAGTGTTTGTTTGTCCATAAATTTCTCCGAAACTGACTTATATTCAAACTATCTCTTTGAATCAGCTATAATCCAACTTAGGAAACAGTTCAAGTTTCATTAGAATCTGCACTGTTCGTTTCGAGATATTTTTTGGACGCATTTCTCAGTCCAGTAATAATCTATAATGAATTATTGGTTAATTTTTCCATTTCATTAGACAGGTACTAGTATATGGAGTTCGTTTAATTTATTAAATTTACTTTTAAGTAAGCTTAACCAAAATATAATTCAGGCTGTATAGTTCATTGATTACTGGAATGAATAACCGTTGACCTCCGTGCTTACTCGTGGTACTCTTGACTAGTATCGGCATGTCACGGACATAGTACCTCGGTCTTTTTGGGCACTCATTGTGCTTACCGATACTTCCTGTTATTGTCCCTAATCCACCGTGAAGTCCATAGTTAACACCAGTATAAATAATTTAACACAACGTTAGTTCTATTTACTATAGACTCGAAATATCAACAAGTAATACCGAATTACTGGAATGAAATGGTGCGACGGGTTACAAAACGAATCTATTTTGTTTTTTGTGTGTTATTTGTGGCAAAAGTCGGAGCGTCGGTGCTTAAAGATGCATCTGAAGACCATCTGAAAGAGGTGACGCACAATGATGCTGCTGAAGTGATTAAATTAGAAAAACAAAAAGGAGAGAAGGATCATCACATTGAAAGCATTATCAATGATGACCACACTGATAAACATACAAAAACAACTGACGATCTTAAATATTTGACGAAGGATCATGAAACGAAAGCAGCTTCAGAAAGCGACGATTACAAAGGGTCGAATGTCAAACAGGATAAATTAGAAGATACTCAATCAAATGGTTATAAACGGGGTCATAAAAAGGGACACCATAATCAAGGATTCCAAAACTCATATCATAAGGATGAATCCTCGAATAAAAGCACGTATTTCGATGACATTACTGATGAAGGTGATCAAGCTGCTTATAAAAGTAAGGTAAACAGTTATGACAATCACGATGGACGGAATTATAGAGGATCCCATAACAACGGACATGAATATCTTAGAGATCACTACAGAGATGGAGGTCATAATCGCTATGGAGATGTCGGTAACAAGCGAGTAGCTCATCAGGATTATGGGAGGAAACATTACTTGAAGGATTTGGAGGACTACAATAAGTACCGTAATGGTGGAAATTCTTACGATAGGCGTAATATCCACGATCATCATGAGTATAAAAAACCACACGTGTACCACGTTCCGCATCAAGAACCGGGATGGGACTGGCAAAAATGGGACGATCGGAGAAAGTGGGAGCAACCAGCGTGGGAAGAGAGCCCTGGATGGGATAGAACTGGATGGCGACAAGATGTCGGGCCTGGATATCATGACAATCGTGGCTTACACGATGGTATTTACTATTCAAACCCTGGATATCGATATGGAGAGTCAAGGTCCAATCCCGTTGCTGAAATTCCTGAAACAATTCCTGATACCCCTGTAGACGTTCCGTCGAATGCACCAGTGGTAGCGCGTAGAAAACAGACGATAACAATATACGAGGATCCAAGGTATAGTGGTAAAGAAGGGGGCCAAGTGAGGAGAGAAGAAGGTGACTACATCCAACTTGATATAAAACCTAGTACCCGCCGATATGCCAGCTACGACGATACTTACTACAACTTGCCTGTAAGGGAAGCTCAAGCAAGCAATATAAATCGGTTAGTTTACAATAGACGAGCATAGTCTTAAATTATATTCTATATTTTATTTAATATATAATCTACCTATTAATAAAAAATAAAAAGTGTATGTTGCGTAACATTAATTATTAAAATATGCAACTATAATAAATCTATATACTGAGTCTAATTACATCCGTTGCTCGCAAATTCCCTTAAATGTTAACTACGCCAAATCAAAATTAAACGCCAAGACATTATTGACACGCAGGTTCATTTTGCAATGTGTATTATTTGTATGTGCGATACTCGACTACTAACATATTCTATTGCAACATTTATTACACTATAATACATATTCATTTATTATTTAATTCAAAACAATTGAAATACATTTTTCAAATCGCTTAAAAGAAAAATACGGAATAAATATTAAAATCTTTGATTGCTTGTTATGCATTTCTCACTTTGTCTCTGACAATAACACCATTCAAGTTTTACAGATTAATTCTCTTTATTACTCTCGGCTTTAATTAACGGAAGTCGTTATTGAGGCACTACCCAGGAGCCACTCGTAGATATTTTTCAGTGCTTTTATTTGTAATTTAAATTTTGCAACCCTTCGTTGTGGTTCCGCTTTAGGGGAATAAACTAATTTAAACGTTAAGCCCCAGTGAAAGTCCCTTATAATATAATGTCCATTCAATGTGTGTATCGACCGTATCGATTGTAATATAGCCGTTTTTTATGTAATAGGAGGCAAACGGGCAGGAGGCTCACCTGATGTTAAGTGATACCGCCGCCCATGGACACTCACAATGCCAGAAGGCTCGCAAGTGCGTTGCCGGCCTTTCAAGAATTGGTACGCTCTTTTCTTGAAGGACTATGGTGTTTCATATATACAATTCGTTATTAATCAGCTGTTATGGCTCATTATAGTTTTGCCCTGGACTTTCTACGTAATGTCAACTTTAGTATAAAAAACAGCCCTTCTCTAGCCTATCCCCGATTAGGTTTTCGGGTGATCCATTATTTTCTATACAAAATATATGATTGGTAAATCGTAATTAAAGTTAGCTAAGATATATGTATAATTCCATACATATTTTGATATTGGTAGACAGTCTACTCACATTACCAGCCAATCTGCAATTAAAATACACTCCTCTTATGTTACTTTGTAAAAGTAGTCGTGTTCTACTTGAAATTGCATCAATCCTTTGAAATTAAGTTTTGGGAGACAAGGACCAAATTGAAATTCATTTTTGAAAACGGAATATATTTCGACTAAAAGGAATATTTTGTAAATGAGTTCAATCCAGAAAAATTCAGACATTTAATATAAAAGATATTTCGATGATATATATTTATATGATATTTAGTGTTTGTGTAAATCTAAATATTACACAGTAATATAATGAAATACACATTTAGGGATATCTCCTGTATTTAGCACATTTTTAAGAAAAAGTATATTTTAAGGTCTTCTTTCTATTATTATAATATCGTTATTTGGATTTGGAATTGACACAGTCCAAAGAAATATATATGAATAACGAGTACACAGATAATACAGGCCTACAAAAAAAATTTTTTTTTATGGTGCAGCTCCTTTTGTATATATTGTCGATAAAATAGGTAATGTACAATATATTGGCATACGTCATTTTAACTCATCAGCTCTAGTTTACCCACTACCCTTCTTTTATTTTTTTTCCCGCCTTGGTCGTAAATAGTGATTATTACATTCATATCGATAAAGTTTCTATTACTAATTCAATATGACTAGTACGTCCAGATGTTGTGTTAACGATTCTGATACTTTTTGCTATGTTTGTGATCAATACATACTGAAAGATCAGCGTGTAACGATGACAAGCACTGTGAATCGTTTGTATTTTGCTTATTTTGGTATTGAAATTTAGAACCAATATAAAGTGTGGGTGCCACATGATGTGTGCACAATATGCGTTGAGCGTCTACGACAGTGGGAGAAAGGCTCACGTAAGTCTTTAAAGTTTGGAATGCCTATGACATGGCGAGAACAAAAAAAACATTATGGCGACTGTTACTTTTGTATGACAAATATAGTGGGCAACAACAAAAAAAATCTATATCTATATAAAGAAATGGAAATACCCTAAATTTCCCTCAGCACAAAGACCTATTCTTCATCCAGAAAATGTTCCAGTACCAGCTTTTCACCAGGTAGTGCAGCAATCTCAGGAGGATCAATCTGAAATACCTTATTCTTCCCAAATAGATGACGAATTTGAATACTGCGGGAAATCATCAAATTTCTAACCCATTTTAAGAGAATGAGCTGAATGACCTCATCAAAGAATTAGGGCTTTCGATGGAACGTGCTGAGTTACTAGCTTCAAGATTAAAAGAAAAAAAATGCCTTTCTTCAGACATTCGAGTGTGTACATATCGTACGAGAGAACAAGACTTATTGCAGTTCTTTTCATCTAAAGAAATAGTTGTATATTGCTGTATTGTCAGTGGTTTGCTGACATTCATGAGTTTGCCGTTTTATCAGTCCAATGAAAACTACTACAATAAATAAATAAACGAAGTATGAAAGCAGTTCTCCTAAAATGTGTAAAGAAATGTTATAAATTAACCCTTGGTTTCAAGAGAAAAAATCATTCTTCACAAAAATTTCCTGGTTTAAGTACTGAAAAACTAAAAGCAGGTTTCTTTGGTGAAAATACGTCAATTAATAAAAGATACCACAAAATTTGAGACTTCTATGAATGATGTAGTACGGCTTGCGTGGAAATCTTTTGTAGCAGTTGTATAGAATTTTCTCGGAAATCATAGGGCTGTGACAACTATGTAAAATTAGTAGAAGATATGCTGGTTCGATTCAACGATTTAGGCTGTAATATGAGTATGAAGTTTTCACTATCTCAACAGTAATCTAGATCAATTCCAACACAATTTAGGAGACCTTAGCGAAGAACAAGGAGAACGAGATTACCGAGACATAAAAACAATGGAGAACAGATACCAAGGAAGATGGGACACTCTATGATGCATATGGGGATGCGATGCCAGTATTTAATTCGAGAAAATCGCTCAAAAGACAATTTCTTGATGTTTAATGCCATAAAAATATATATTTATTGTAAAAAATGTTTTTTTTATGTATCTCGAAAACTAGAGCTGATAGAAAAAAACTAATTACATTTTTGATTTCACCATGTAAGACATGCTTATAATCAGGTCTAAAATCCCCGGCACCAAAATGGTTGTAGGCCAGATATGTGTAGTTCAGTTATGCTATATTTTCATAATGTACTTAAAATGAATTAATTTTATTGTTTTCCATAAAATATGTAAATATTCACTTACATAAACTTTTCGTAAGAAAATCAATAAAAATTGTAATACATATAAATAAGTACAGATACATGAACCCATGATGCCGCTTTGGTAAGGCTTCCTCAACAGAAACGTTTTCCTAGCGAGGGCGCCAGAACCCTGAATTGAAAAAAAAAGATAAGTCTTTATTAATATACTCAGTGTAGAGTTTTTTTTTCATTATTTAGTATTTACTATCAGGTATTACTTCTAATCAACTTGTCTCTCAACAAAGAGCTGCTCCAAATATCGGCATGTTGATCCGTCCTTTGCTATTCTGTACCATTCTTCCCCAGTTGACGTAACGAGAGTGGACGGGTACTGCTGAGCAGTTTCTGTATCTGGTGTAGGACTGGACACGGTTCACGAGACTGACACCAAAGAGGCACCAAAATAAGAACAACATCTTAAGCAACTTCTTCTAAGCGTGTCTTATGCTCAAACCGCAATTCTATACGTACTTGTTGCTCAACTCTTTTACAGAAGTAAAACTATAGTAAGTCTTATGTACAATACCATACCATAATTATTAAGTCTTTATTGCTGACACCCCGTATGGTATAGTGAACATTTGTTTTAGTTACATAACCTAACTTAATTTAATACATCAGATGTGCCGGTTTCGGTGATCAGCTTGTCTGTGACAGATAGGCCTTCTTCCAGCTGCTTCCATTTTTTTCTAATGTTAGCTCTTCTTGTCTAAGTTGTGCCTCGTATTCTCTTTATATCGTCTGCCCATCTCTTGCTCTGTCTTCCTCTTTTCCTTTTTCGATCTCGCGATTGTCATTCTGTAATAATTTTTGTCTATTTCAAATTACTTTTAAGTACTTCCTTAAGGAATCAATATCTCTTCCAGGCGCAAGACACTCTTATTTTTATCTTAAGATCTGATTGGTCTTTGAATGATATTATTTGCCAAAGATATATCTACGTACATACATATTCGATAGCATCACCGCCTATTTCTATGATAATTTCCCTATTAGTCATTATTTATATATGTATGTTAAATGAAAGGAACTAACTGCCCACGATACAGAGAATCCTATTGTGTTCAGAAGAGTTATTCGGACTTATAAATACCTGCAGCTGAGTTTCATCATCGGACATCAAGGCAGAATACAATAATATTCCATCCGTATCACCTTGACGTCCGTCGTTCCAACATTAAGCGTTTCTTAAGGCAATTTTTTCCAAACCAATTCGACTCCTAAGTCGACCCTAGTCCTTCAGCGTACCAATTCTTAAAAAGCCGGCAGCGCGCTTGCGAGTCTTCTGGCAGTGCGAGTGTCCATGGGCGGCGGTATCACTTAACACCAGATGAGCCAGTTTGCCTCCTGTAACATAAAAATGCTTGTGTAGGTGGTACTTTTTTATTTTACTGTACATGATTTTAATTACGTGTAATAAAGGTTTTGGTACTTTCTTTTAGATGATATGATATTAAAATTACCAACGCATAGACTTTTCGAGCTTGTAACATAAAAAAAGGAGTATTCATAATTGCTATTAACTACTGAGATTAATTACAAAACTCAAATACCATCGTTCATACAAAAACAAAGTGGTAACTATATAATCGCTTCGTACATTAATATACCCTTATCCTCTTTTTATTAGACTTGATAACGACTTGTCTTACACTAAAGCAATTTCAAAACGACACCCGAATAACACGCCAATAATCGTTAGTAG